TTTTTTTTTTTGTAATTCCTCCAGCTCTAGGTTTGCAAGATTATTTTGGTATCTTTATCTAAAGAAGATGAAGTTGCTCAAAGAAAATTAGAAAATATCGTTTAGATTAAAAACTTAGACAATTTGCACATCCAATTAAAAACTACTTAGGGCCAATTTCATTTAGCAATTATGAATCTGGAAACTAGAGAACAGAGCACTGTGTTGGGCCAAAGATAGTAAATGCTGAATGGATGCACATTAAAATCACCCTAGTAATTAATTAATTTGATAAACACCTAAAGCTGGGATTAGACCTCAGTCTATTTAGAAAGAAATTCTGAAGTATGTTCTTAACATCTTCTTTGAAAAAAAGTTAATATGTCACAGTAAGCTGTTCTGTGTCTTGTACATGTGAGACTGCTTTTACTGCTAAAGAAATTCATGCTTACGCTACACGATTCAGTATCCACATTCACAGTGCATGGTTTTGTATGATCTACCTAATTCTCAGCTACTTTATTTATGGACTTTAACTGGTGAAAAAAAAATAAATGATTCAAAAAAAGTATCAGCTTAGAAAACTGACAAATATGCAGCAAAAGATTATGGAACATGCAGTGGTTTTGCTAAAATTAACAACAGTAAATAGAAAAATGTAACTGATGTATTACCAGTTTGTGCCATAAATTTAGCAGCATCAGCTTGTTCCTGAGGGACCCTTTTCTCATGAACAGATCGAGGTCGCTGACTTTTAATTGTATGATCTCCCATCATTCCAAATTCTAAAGACAGAATAAAGGTTTATGAAAGCTTGTGTGTAGACATTTCTCAAAAGTTATATACTGTCTCATGCAATATGTTCCTAAACATACCTGGAAGTTGCTGGTAAGAGTCAGGCAAGTGATCATGGCAGTTAACATCAACTCAACTTTGCTACGCTCAGCTTTTAATAAATACTTAAATTTGTGTCTGCAGATTTTCAAACATTATTTTATTGTATGAACCAACATTCATTGTAGTGACATATACTATAAATCAGCTGTATGACATGGGACAAAAACAATTATTCAAATGCAGACATTTTATTCCTATATTTTGAATCAGTGCAAACCACACCAGAAAATGACTGTGACAGTGTTAGACATTGCTGTTCTACAGCAGAGCCTGCTGCTCCTCCAGAGGACTTCTACTTCTGCACTCATCTTTCAGGCTGATGAAGCCTTCAACAGAGATAACGAGTCAGCTTTGGGAATGGCGGCAATGTGGAATAATAATAATTTAGCCAAGGAACTGCTTTTTTTTTAGGCTGAATCCAGCAGAACAAGTGCTTGTGAACTGTTTCCTTTCTGAAACCTCTCCATTATAAAGACTATAGGTTATATCTCACCCTCAATATTTAAAAAGAAGTCTCCATTAATAGGGAAATCTATGTAAAAATCAATGACGTAAAGGCCCAGAGTGTGGGAGACAAGAGTGCTTCATTCTTCATCCTACCACTGCTGTCATTTTCCTTCTCTGGTCCTGTGCAAACCTCCCACCTTCTACCTCAGACTCCATTTTTCCTTTCTGTGATGAAATGAGGAGGATCCTTTGCACTTCGAGGGGGACTGTTGCATCTGCAGCACAGCTCCCTCTGGTCCTCCCAAGCACACACTGCTCTCAGGACTCTAATTTAGGAAGCACGTGCTGGGAACCATGGATTAACATTAAAACTATTTCAACTAGAACGATATAAAGTTTCTGATGAGGCAGAAGGTATCGGAAGCACTAGGAATATAAACATTAAAAAATACCTTTCTGCTGGAAGGTTACCTTGCAAACGCAAAATTCAAAATTGTCCCCAATTTGTAAAGTCATGAACATAATAAAACTTACCTTCCTGCCTCAAAAGACGCAAAACATTATATAAGATATAAATGCTACTAATAAATACTATTTTCAAACACACTGTCTTGATTAGTCATTAAAGTAAACATACTTAAATTTCTGTTTTAAGAAATAATAAAAGGTGAATACGTTGCTAAGGGGTCAATCAGCAGAGCGAGGTCCTTTTTCCGTTCTAGTAAATAATTAATATATATCTCCAAATTAGTGTTTCTTTTCGTAAATATTCATTAATGTTACCACTTAAAATACAAATTTAATTATTAATTTGAGAACAGCAATGCAGTTTGCATTCTAAAGAGAATATTTGAAAATCTAATTAATAAAATACATTTTGAGAATTAAACATTCAACATTCTTAATATACCAGAAGTACATATAAAAGATAATTACATTGTATATACATACATATATAATATATATACATATATGTATGTGCATAGATAACGTGTGTTATAAAATTTTATGAATATATATTTACAAAATACACCTCTTCTACAGCTCCTCTGATTTTAGATAGCTTTTTATTCTGAGGGAAATCTCTCACTATAATTAAAGTTTTACAATCAATACTTTAATGCAAATTAAGATTAGAATGATACTTTTACAGTTTTTACAAGGCGCGGTACAGATGACCATTTAGACTATAATTAAAAACACGGTGAAGGACAAGAGACTTCACATCGCTTTTCCCCTGATGAGGCTGTGAAAGCAAAGCATGTTTGCTCTCAGTTTTGTACACTGTCTGCTTGTCAGGCAATTTAGGGGATATAGCACCATTTTTGCAGAAGACTTAATTCTGCTTTTTTAAGTTACAAACAGAGTGCATTAATGGGAGAACTTTGCTAGGGGAAGGCTTTCCAGAGGCATACAGGGAGGTGGTGAATGATCCGGTCCCAGCCCCGCAGCATCCTGTGCTGGGCTCAGGCACATGCAGTGTCCTGCAGGACAGACACCTCTGGGGAAGAGGCAAAGCAAAGTCTGGGAGACCAGTTTTCAGGGTTGTGGCTTCTATCCAGTGTAGCTCCATGCACAATGATGGAGTTACTCACGAATATCACCAAGCAGAGTAAATACAAGTTGTTGATGCAGGATCTAATTATGCCTCGACTTTTTCATTTTTCCACTTAGCAACAACACATTTTCAATTAACACTTTCAATTCACTTCAACTATTGCTGATGGTCTTTGAGATGCACTCTTCAACTAAGCTCCCTTTGATATATGAAGCATTCATATAGTATGTAAACATATATGAAAGATGTTTCATAACAAAGATCAAAATATTTTTATAAGTTTTGTCAAAAAATGAAACCAGACTTATGCCATGCTCTCTTTTTCATATTCAGCTAAAGTATTTAACCAAATGCCGCATAAGAACAAAAGCGGTACCAGGAAATGCAGTGTATGAGCACGGGTGAGGACTTTACAACCTCATTAAAATTCAGGCCTCATAAGAGAAGAAAAATAAGGGTCAAGTACATTTTCGTAATGGAATCAGAAGTGTCCAGTTTCTGCATATAAGTACAAACTGTTCTCTCAAAATTGTTTAATCTAAGAAGCTCAACAGTAATGCATTTTTTACGAAGCATTTTATAGTAAAATATCTTACTTAAGTGACTGCCATAGTTTACAATAAACACTAAATAGAATAAAACTTTCCTACAATTTCAGATCCTAGCTAAATAAGAAAAGTAGAAGATGAACCAGTTATGCATTTGTTTTCCCTCAATGCTTCACAGAGGAGAAGTACTTAAATGCTTTCTGGGCTGGGAAAGCATTTTAACCCAAGTCAGCCTAAAGTATGACTAAATATCACAGTAGTTTCAAGGACCTGCTGGTGTGAGAAAGATGATAGGAAATATCTTACTCTGGAGAGTATCTGGCATAGAGGTGTCTTGCAAGGTCAATTCAGCATGATTCAGGACCTGATGTCTGGGATATAATATTGGATGTTTGAAATGAGAATCTGAGTAAAGGAGTTTTTCTCATTCTCACTCTTCTTACCAAGTTTTTACTGCTGAAAATAAGTTTTCTAACCCAGAAGAAGGTATTTTTTGCAGACATCAGTTTCTGAACAGAATTTTTTGGTTATGTCTGTCCTCATTTTCTCTTGGGTGAAACAGGACAGTCCTCCTCTGCTTTTATTTTGTCAAACATTAATACTAATCAGATTGTTTCATTAAATAAAGAGGGACAACAAGTCTTTTCAGCAGCAAACAGGTACCTGGCCTGATCCAGAAATCGCCAATGTGACTCTAAGTTAGGCCTGGAAACATGAAAGGGTTTTAACACTTTTTATTACATTGTTAATGCTACAGCCTATCTGCATGAGAATTTAACTCGTAAACAAATACCTCAAAACATAAATAACAAATAGTATTATGGGGAACATTGAATGGATCTTTTTAAGCAGACCATGACTTATAACAAATCATAACATATTCCAAACATTTGTGGTAGAAAAATTCAGGTTTAGTTATCTGTTAAAAGAATTTATCCTGCTGTCAGTAGTCCTTTGGTGGCTATGGAAATACAATAAATAAGTTTCCTGAAATAAGATGCATATTCTTTCTCTCCTCAGCTGTACACAATGGATCAATACTTGAAAGTGTTTTAGCACTGCATATATCTTAACATGGATGTGATTTATCATTTCATTTTACATATAACTCTGAAGCATGTAATATAGTTCCATGCCCTCTAGGAGTGAAAAAAAAAACACAATGATTTCTGAAATTCCAAAGTTTACAGGTGAGTATTATTTACAACAACTCTTATCTGTAGTCCCATTGGCTTTACCTTTATTTTTATGTTATGTTATGGGAATTTTTATTCCTATTGAGTAACCTTTTTAATTTTTAAAGGAGAAGCTAAAATCTTGCGGCCAATGTAGGTGTACATTTTTAGGAGAGAAGAGAGGTGCCATGTGCTCTCTGTAGGAATAAAGAAGAAAAAACATCTGTTAACAGTATAAAAATGCAAGGCAGGAAGACTGAGCAATACAAAAGAAAAATACCGACTTTGCAAGGTTCTACTCACCCATGGCTAGTCTTTGCCTTTTGACAAGTGAAAGATCACTAAAGCTAAAGTACATGTCCAACAGATTTTATGCCTCGGCTCTTTAATCATATATGTAAGACTGCTACACATATATCCTAGTCATCAGATGACATTATACACCATGTTGGTTTGCTCTTATTGCTATTTTTATGCCACATTTTGTAAGAACTTCACAGTACAAATGTCTTGATTTGTTTATAGGTGTACCATCTACTATGAATTGTGCTATTAATGGCCTAGAACACACTGGCGTTAATAAAAAAATCTTTTTTCAGCATAATAGTTTGTGATGACAGTGTGAACGAACTGTTGAACTAAAAAAAAGTGATTCTGACACCTTTCGGGTTACCCCTTCAGGGCATGTAAAATGTATAGCAGTCTCTGAGAGCTGCTGAGCATCCGTAGCTTGTACCGAACCTCCTGGAAAGCGAGATGGTGAGCAGCTCCCTGAAGGCTGATCAGAACCTTAAAAGCAAGAAGAGGCAATCGATTCCCCAGAGTGACTGTCATTTTCTTCTCTCACCCACAGCACTCCAGAAGTCTGCTTCATACTATCCTACTCACTCCTGAACTGTAAATAGTCAAATGAGTGTTTTCAATTACTCTTGACTACGGAATGAATATTAAAGGCCTTGAAGCCAGAATGTGCATTAATGCAAAACTGTCTCATGTGCGGTAACGTGGCATCCTCTCTGTGCCAACACACAAACGTTTTTCCCAGAAATTATGCAAAATGCTGATGCAAGTCCCAGGTGAAGGGGAAGGAGGGAGTGCAGAGGGCGAAAGGAAGAAAGAAGGCAACTACAGAAATATATAAAGAACCAATTTGTTTAAAT